CAGCTTGTTCTCTTGACAGAACTCTATTAGCCTTTGCCCTGCTTCGTTTTGAACTCCAAGGCCAAACTTGCCAGTTGTTCCTTTTATCTCTTGACTCCCTACTTTAGCATTCCAATCCCCTATTATGAGCAGAACATCCTTCTTTGGTGTCACTTCTATAAGGTCTTGTAAGTCTTCATAGAATTGGTCAATTTCAGTTTCTTCAGCACCAGTAGTTGGTGCATAAACTTGGATTACTGTGATGTTAAAAGGTCTGCCTTGGATTCGTATCGAGATCATTTTTGAGATTGCATCCCAGTACAGCTTTCACCACTCTTTTGTTGACTATGAGGGCCACTCCATTTCTTTTACGGGTTTCTTGTCCACAGTAGTAGATATGATAGTCATCCGAACTGAATTCGCCCATTCCCGTCCATTTTAGTTCACTGATGCCCAAGATGTCAATATTTATTCTTGCCATCTCATTTTTGACCACCTCCAACTTACCCAGGTTCATGGTTCTTACATTCCAGGTTCCTATGCAATATTTTTCTTTACAGCATTGGACTTTCCTTTCGCTTCCATGCATATCCGCAACTGAGCGTCCTTTCGGCTTTGGCCCAGCCGCTTCATCAGCTCTGGATCTACTTGTACTTGTCCTCCGCTCTTCCCCAGTAGCATGTTGGACACCTTCCGACCTGAGGGGCTCATCTTCCAGCGTCATAACTTTTATATGCCTGTTGTCTTTGTCCATGGAGTTTTCTTGGCAGGGATACTGGAGTGGCTTGCCAGTTCCTGCTCCAGGTGGATCACGTTTGGTCAAAACTCTCCACTATGACCTGTCCATCTTGGGTGGCCCTGCACGGCATAGCTCATAGCTTCTCTGAGTTATTCAAGCCCCTTCGCCACGGCAAGGCAGTGATCCATGAAGGAGAAGTAGATAAATAGAGACCGCTTACTAGCGGGAAGGTAAACGGCGTTTCCATGTGCGGCTCTGGCTCGCCAGATGCAGCTTGTCACGCTGGCCACGTGACCCGGAAGTGTCTCCGGACAGCGCTGGCCCCCGGCCTATAGAGTGAGATGGGCGCACAACCCCAGAGTCTGTCAAGACTGGCCCGAATGGGCAGGGGAACCTTTACCTTTACCTATTTCTTCTCCAAGATGGGCTACCTTCCCAGGTTGACAAGCCCCATTTGCCCCTCACTTCCCTCTACTGTATGGGGTGTTCGGGGAGGGGGTAGTACCTCTAGATGCTGTCAGCATTCAACAGCAGCCACACCCTAAGAACAGCTTTGAGTGGCTGGCTAAACCAGGTGAGGGTAGCTGATGGGTCTCAAATCCTCAGTGAGTGAGGGACTTCCTTGCATGCGAAGACAGGCTCCAGTAGTAGACAGCATGACTGTCCAAGCATTTGATACAAGTTACATCTAGGGGGCTATAATCTGCTTGGAGGGTCACATGCCACTGTGGGTCTGCCATACAGAAGTTGCTTAATTATTTCATACAATGCTAAAAATGATGGGCAGGGGAGCACAAACTCTTTGGTGGCACACTCTGCATGCATCCAGGTCATTTGTTTCCTCTATCTAAATTCTCCTTATGGATTTACTGAATAACACAAACAAACCACATGCAATTACATCCCACAAGATGGCGAAGGACAAACATTTAAAAGGAGGAAAGGAAGAAGAGAAAGCAGGGAAATAAGCAAGGGAAGCTCATTTCCATTTTAAATACAGTATTAGTTACTCAACTTTTTACCATCCCCCTCCCCAGGTTCCTGTCCATTTTCTTTGGAATCCAGGAGTGGATTTAAGCTTTTTAATCAACACACAACACTGATTTCTGAACAGAGGGGAGTCCAAACAGGCCTGCTATTAAGCACGGACTGTTAATTGTCCTCCTCTAGCAAATCACAGCAGCAGTTAAAGGCAGCATTATCTTGGCTTTTGCAGAAATGACCTTTAAAAATTATATTAAACATCCATAATTGATTGCACTGATTTTCAGACAATTGTTTAAATTAAAAAAAAAGCCAGTTGTGGACTGCTTTCTCTTTGCTACATGGGAAATGTCCATGGCATGTTTTATTTTGGTTTGCTTGGTCTCCAGAATTGCACAAATTAATGAAAAACTTTCTAAAACAATCTGTATTTTAATCTTTAATTACATTACAATCATGTTTGTAAACATAATAAAGCAGGTTGCTCACAGAGATTAGGCCAGTTCAAGTGGTGCGCCAGCCACATCAGACGTGGAATTGAAATGTGCGGTTGGAAGAGCTGTGCAATGCAGCACCGGCTGGGCTCTCCCATCTCAGACAGCAGGTGATGAACTGCATTTCTGAATGATCCCCTACATTCAAAACAAAACAAAATACAACTCTCCCTTAACATTTTCCAACCAAGGAAACAACTTGTCAGGGAACTGGAACAGTTTTTAGATGAGGGCAGACTGCCAATAGCATGTGGTAAAGGTAAAGGTAAAGGTAAAGGTACCCCTGCCCATACGGGCCAGTCTTGACAGACTCTAGGGTTGTGCGCTCATCTCACTCAAGAGGCCGTGAGCCAGCGCTGTCCGCAGACACTTCCGGGTCACGTGGCCAGCGTGACAAAGCTGCTCTGGCGAGTCTGCACCAATGCAGCACACAGAAACGCCGTTTACCTTCCCGCTATAAAGCGGTACCTATTTATCTACTTGCACTTAGGGGTGCTTTCGAACTGCTAGGTGGGCAGGAGCTGGGACCGAACGACGGGAGCTCACCGCGCCACGGGGATTCGAACCGCCGACCATGCGATCAGCAAGTCCTAGGTGCTGAGGTTTTACCCACAGCGCCACCCGCGTCCCACATGTGACACCTCTGCAAAAACATCTGCACCAGCTGCTTAGATGCTACCAAGTCCTGAATAACTTGGGACCAGGATACCTTAGGGCTGCCTGACCCCTTATGGCCCAGCCTGGTCACTGAGATCACCCCTCCCCCTGTTTTACAGAGGTCCAACTGACCTCAACTAGAAGTCCAAGGCTGAGGAACTTTCCTCAAGCAAAGATTCAGCTTGACTCTCAGGTCCTTTGTAGCTGTTTAATTTTCAGTCATCTGATCTATCTGTATTCTTGATATATTTTATAATATGGCACCAGAAAGAAGACTGAATAAACCCCTGACTTGCTCTGAGAGTGACCTGCTGGTTCGATTGTCCCTATTCTCAACAAATGATGTGTCACCAGTAGGAATATCTGATTTTTCTCTTGAAGCCTTAAGCAAGGAGAAGGGATGAAGAGGTCTTGTGGACGAGAAGCAAACTCGATATCAATACGATCTCCAGCATCCACCTGCCCACTGGTGAACAAAGGCTGGCAGCATTACACCCCCTGGGGAGGCAGATTTACTGGGAGCTAAGTCAGGCGGAAGTATTTTTCTCCCCTCTTTTGGGGGCCTTGAGGATGCAGAGGAAGACTTTCCTGATCTGAAGGAGGAGGGGCAGGGAGACCCCATCCTGCCTACCCCCTCTACTCTGAATGGAAAAGAAGGGACAAGACTTGGAAAATTGTTGGGGAGTATGGAAAAACTGAGTCTGGCATGACTTTTCCTTAGGCTTGTTGGCGGAAGATAGGGCCTTCTTCTTACCCCTAGTATCCACCAGGTGAGGTTCCAGAGATTCCCCAAAGAGTTCGGACCCTGAAAAGGTAATGAGATCATAAAGGATTGTGGCGCAGTGTCAACACCCCACTGTCATAACCAGATTGTCTTGTAGGCCACTGTGGAAGTAGCTAAGGACCATGCATTAATTGCAGAGTGTCCATGGAAGGGTCTGCAGCCAATGAAAGGGATCCTTAATAAACTTGGGAATGTCTGCATTTGATCTCATTTCTACAGCTCACTGCTTTAAAAATACAGAGAAGGTGGTGGAAGCCTGAAAGGCAAAAGCATTGGCCTCAAACGCAGGCCTCAGGGACGCTTCCACTCGTTTCTCACCTGGGTACCTGGGACCCCTTCGCCTTCTGAAGGGAGTACCAAGGATGAAGCCAGGACTACCATGGTGGATAATCACTGGACCTCTGAGGTGATTCATAAACTTACCTGGAAAGATACAATAGAATGTTTCTTTCCCCATTTGCAAGGAGCCTAAGCTCTATGTGGGGTTCCTCATTCCGCACCCCAAGGTTTCTCAAAGGCCTTGGGGAAGGGAACAGAGACAGGCTCAGCTGCTGTGGCAGGAAGAGCTTTGGTTGCTTCCAAGGGCCCCATAGGGGATTCAGGGGGGCGGGCTGCCTCTTCCTCTGGCAATTGCAGCACCTCACAAGCCTTTTTAAGAAAGGCATAAAAACCTCAGCAGAGAACACCCTAGGTTGGTTCTTAACCTCAATCACTTCTTCTTCTGAGAGCTCCCTCTCTTTCATGTCTGGGTTGGGCTGGGAGGACCCCAATTCAGGCAGTTCCCCAGAGGCCACCCACTGGGCTGCAGTGGCATCCTGAGACCTGGGGAGCAGAAGCGACGTCTCCTGTTGAACTACTGCCTGAGGGAACAGATGTCTTAGCCTGTTCTGGTGGCAAGGGAGGGTCAACCAGAAAGGACTCCTGGGACCTTGGATGCGAGGGCAGGAGGGGGGCTTTGTGTGGTGAATAGCCCCTCTTTCCCCTGTGGCTGCGTGTGGACTGCTTGTACTTGCATTTACTGTTATGGTGATGAAGCAAGCTGGTCCAGGTGCAAAAACCCACAGAGGGAATAATTAATCTCTGTGGAAATAAACCTCTTCATCCAAGAAAGCAGTCTGGGGAAATTCGTTGAACTAAGGAAGGCCTCAGAACTGGGGGGGGGGGGGCACCTTCCATACTCATCCCTGCCTGTTCTGTCAAAGAACCTGGAGAATCACCCAAGGCTGCTTGCCTCGGATCTCAAAATGTCTAGGCCTCCTCCATTGTGCCAACATCGTGAGGAGAGAGGCTGCCCTACTGAGGCAAAGTCATTCTGTGCACAGGAAATGAATGCAACTGAACACACTGCAGTTGTTGCTCAAACTCCCAATTTGTGCTGGGACCTGAAGGTGCAGCAACAATTCAGCCACTGGAGGCAGGCAGAGAGCACAGAGAGTGTGAAAGTCACTAGACCAACAGGTGCAGCAATCACATCTCTAGGAGCTGTTGGGGCCTCCTGAAGAAATGCTGAGTTGTTGAAACAAAATGGTGTTCCGTTTGGGGCGGGAAACACAAGCTCCTGGCCTGTCGCCTCCAGACAATTCCTCCTGTGCCTGACTGACAATCGGGTCAGAATACAGCTGCCCCCTATACTCTTCCCTTCCCCAGACAATAGAGTGGGGACGGGGGGGGGGGAGAGAAACACAAAGAGATTGAAATGGAAATGAAGAAGCTGGGGGGGGGGGCAGCCAACAGGAAAACACAGTGGAAAAACTCACTCAGAAAGGGGATCTAGCAAACAGGATGAAGGAGAGGACTAGACAGAGGGAAAATCCACATAAAACAAGCACTCAAGCAAGCATTTTTCTCCACACAGAGAAAGAGGCACGAAGACCCAACCATCCCTTGCAGCAAGCAGGGTCAGTCTGGAAAGACAGGATGACTCCTCTTCTCTGGAGAGGACGTTGCAAGTTGAAGACCCTTCCTGTCTCCAGTAGGGGGAGTCATCCCTATCAGGAATGGCGTCCCCCTCCATCTGGTAAATTCCAAATTCACAAAGTGAATTCTCTTTTTCTTCCCTATTTATGGAATTCTCTCCTTGAACAGGGATGCAGTGCCAACTTTTCTTTCTCTCCCTTTGAGCTCCATAGTCATCCCTCCCATTCTCCCCCTTTCGCGTTTGTTTTCCCCACTGTCTATTTTCGACTGCACTCTATTTAGGACATGGACCTGTTTATTTTTCTTACATGGGCAAATGGTCACATCTGTTAGTGTCATGGGCACCGGTCACAAACTGGCTGCTGTGGCAAAACACAAAATGGCAGCCATGTCCAAAAGAAAAGAAAAAGAAACAGGACCACAAAATGATGTGGGTATGCTCCTCCCTCAGCCACGCCACCAGGGGGCAGAAAAGTTACCGACATCAGCTACTGCCGCATTTGCTCCCAGAGAGATCTCTGTGGTTCTCCTTTGTTCAGAACAGAAGGCCAAATGGCTGTCTAATCCTGGCATCCAATGATATTTAGACATGTTCAATGTTGTTGTTGTTGTTGTAGTTTAGTCGTTAGTCGTGTCCGACTCTTCGTGACCCCATGGACCAGAGCACGCCAGGCCCTCCTGTCTTCCACTGCCTCCCGCAGTTTGGCCAGACTCATGTTTGTAGTTTTGAGAACACTGTCCAACCATCTCGTCCCCTTCTTCTTGTGCCCTCCATCTTTCCCAGCATCAGGGTCTTCTCCAGGGAGTCTTCACTTCTCACGAGGTGGCCAAAGTCTTGGAGCCTCAGCTTCAGGATCTGTCCTTCCAGTGAGCACTCAGGGCTAATTTCCTTAAGAATGGATGTGTTTGATCTTCTTGCAGTCCATGGGACTCTCAAGAGTCTCCTCCAGCATCAAAATTCAAAAGCATCAATTCATGTTCAAGGTAAGAGAGGCTAAATTGGTACAAATATGAACTAAGCATGAAGAGCAAATGCTCTCTTGCGCATCATGGGTTTTTGAAGTGCTATCTTTTGAGGGCCTTTGCAGGCACCCACATTGGTGATACCCAGAGGGACCCTGATGGTGCCATATAGATAAGTACTTAATTCACTTTAAGATTATTTAGGACCTTTTCAGTTTGGGTTTGGGTTTTCTTTGCTGTTCCTTGTCACTGGCTCAAACCAGAGCCAAGGGAAAATAGAATTCTGTAACTGCAGAAGGCAACACTGTGTTAGAAACACAGAAGTGAATGCAGAGTTATTAAATTAAGGACAAAGTGCATACACTAAATAAATAGAAAAGGAAACAGAAGGCAATCCAAGCTGTTGTGCTTTGCCTCACATTTTCAGATATTTAATATCTTGCAAAACAGTTTTATCATAATTCTGTGGTGGCTGGCAGGAATGTATTTTCTTAAATCCCCATTCTACACATGCAGGCCTTTTTACAGCTGGCTTAAGTGATCCAGTAGTAACTGTTTATATTGCTTTGTATGAAAACATGTCAGCACTTGGAAGAGTGCCCTGGCTCCACTGAGTTCAGTGATTACCTGGGCACCACGGGGGGGGGGGGGCAGCAAAGCCCCAGCTCTTGCCAAACTCGGTGGGAGCCAAGGAACTCCTCTAAGTGTTGCCTCCCACTGAGGTTCTCTGGCTGGGGACTGTGTGCCAGAACTCCTCCCTTTTGGGGGTGGAAGGGGGGCAGAGCAGTGCCCCCTGCACTTAGACTACCTGAGGGGGCTGCTTCCCCTTGCATCATGGGTGGGCTGGTTCTGTCCATATCCATTGGTACCTCACAACACAGAGACACCTTGTTCTTAAAAATGGTCTTTGCCCTCACATATCAGCCGCTCTCACCTAGCAGGTTTTGCTGAAAACAAAGAAATCAGTGGGAACAATTAATATGGCTGCTGTTTATTTCTATTCACAGCATACAGATACTGTGAGCACTGTGAGGCTCCTGGAAGGTGAGGGGGGGGGACTTATCTAACTTTTCACAGGTGATCAGCTCTTAAGGATATGGGACAGGTACAGCAGAAAAAGCTATAGCAGAACATTGCCTTTTCTTAATGACAGCCCTCAGCTAATACTGAGCTCAGCTCAGCTCAGCTCATCAATCATCTAAATCCAGTTTGGGGAGATGATTTCTCTCTCACACAGGCATTGGCTGGTAGGACTGTTCTTGAAGCACCTGCTCACCAACAACATTAGGCCACCTAAATAGAGATGCAAGCCTAGGAACAAACTGCTTATCTGCAGTTATTAAGTCCCTTCTTTTTCCAGTTGTAACCAATACAGTCATTAGGAAGATAAAGAATACCCTTCCCCCCTTTGTTTCCCAACTGGGGGCATGTGACCCCCTGGAGGGCCCCAGGTGAAAATTGTGTAAATGGGGGATCACAGCATGAGGCTAGGGGGCCACAAAGGGAAGTGAGAAGTGGAGATTTTTTTAAAAAAATCCTGATTAGCTGGCTATCCCCTTGGCCAATCAGAAGCGGGTAAGGGGCAGCCCTCCAGGGCCTAGCACTCCTTTTTCCAGGTGCATTTTCTTGGAGCAGGTCTGGTTTGTTTCCAGGGGGAGCGGGCGACTGCAGAGGCTCCTGTTTTGACCCATAGAGCCCGAAATCCAGAACCCCCAGGTCAGGTAAGTGTGAGGTGGGGTGGCAATGGGAAGGGCTGGGCAAGGGGACCTGCTTGTTTGCCTGGGGCTCCGATGTGCCACCCCCAAGGTAAGTGCCACCGGGGGGCCCCCCCTGCCCCCGGCTACGCTACTGGGTTGGATGGCCATCTGCCATGGATGCTTCAGCAGAGTTTCCTACGTTGAGAGGGTTGCACTAGAAGGATGACCCCTGGGGTCCCTTCCAGATCTGTTTTTCTGCTTCAACAATATTTCATCATGTTCTTACCATTTTATGTAATTGTATTTTGTATATATTATAAATTTCTAAACAAACATGTTCTATTTACAAACAAAACATTTAAATAGCTACCTTTCTACCGGTAGGGCGGGGTGGGGGGCACAGGAAGGAAACAAGGTGGGAAGGGGGCCACGGTCACAAAAGGTTGGGAACACTGATCTATTGCACACTGCAGAAATGTTTTGGTGTATGGTACTGTATAATCTGGTTTTGTGTTAGCATGTGTTGGTGACAACATACAGGTTCAGTGTAGGTGGGAGGGGCTTATATTTTGGATTGTGTTATATTCCAAAATATAATTAACCCACTCAATTTTTCAGTAAATGTACAAGTCTCCTTTTCCCCATTTTAACAAAATTAGTGAATTTTATCATACTTAAAATACTTTAATAGGCATTGAAAGCTTGTTACCTCCTTTTTTCTAGTTGACTCATTATGGCAGCCATCAGAAGATTAATTATCATTTTCTGGTGTTCCTTAAAGATTCTTGTTTTAAAATACCAAAAAAGAATCACCAATGGGTCTAAAAGGAGTCTATACGTAATCTGTCCTGCCTTCTATATGATTCATTGCTAACATTCATTTATTGTAGGACAAGTGCAATGAGAAATTTTGACTCATTTAATGTTGAATGAAATTCTCTTGCTAGTTCATGTTGGTGGGTGAGGCAGTCCCCCTCTTACTACTAGTTATTTTAACTTTTTAAAAGGAAAACTCTGGCACTTGGAGACTTAGGGAAGTTAAAAAGGAAAAAGATTTTTATTTTACAACAAAATTGTTGAAATAAAAGATGTGTCAGGAGACAGATTTTTTTCAAGAAACAGTAAACTTTCTCTCCACCCATGCCTGTTACACCAATGGATGTTATAGGCTTCTAAACAAGATGGGAAACGTACAGCTTATATTCTCTTCATTTCCTTAAACTAATTGCAGGGATGGTACAGCTTAGGTGTTAATACTTGCATTCTTAAACAAGGTGGTGCTTTCTATCAGTTTCCTAACCTTCTATAGCTCTCACTCCTGAGGCTCCTCTAGTAGTATAGCAGACCCAGGGGATCACCACACCCCTCATAACTGGTTTGGGATTCTTCTCTTTCCAGAAGATCACTCTCCTCCTTACTGAACGGAGACCCAAGGAGAGTCTTCCCTCACACCTCTCTACTCCTGCCCCCAATTCAGTTTCCCAGCTTTTCTCTTGTCTGTATAATCCTAAGAATACTTAAGAGCTTCAAACTAAGCCCAGAGACTTCCTTCTCTGGATGGAGATGTTCCTCAGAGTGGATCTTACGTACCCCAACCCTCAAGTGTCTTCCTTTTTCCCTCCCTAAGTGCTGACTTCAGCCCCTCTGACTTGCTGTACCTGCAGCCAATCAGAAGGAGGCTACAGTCCCGCACTCTGGTGGAATCCCGTTGCACAGCATCACCAAACTCTGGTCTACCAGAGCTTTCCAGCACAGTGGATAAAGGAAGCAACAGGATAAGAACCAACTAGAAGGAGTAGGAGCGAGACCCATTGCTTCCTTCAATGATATTAAAATGATATGAAATATTAAAGTTGCACCCAACCCCCATGGAGGCCATTCTCCAGAGGAGGACTGAACTTCTTCAGCAGTTCATGAGGTTTACAAAGAACCCTTATTTGTAGGGACAAGCCCTCATATGCAAGCTGTGAAAGAGTGTAAGAACTGCCCTGTTGGATCAAACTGCAAGCAAGGCATAAAGGCCACAGTTCTTCCTGTGGACTGTGCTCATCAATAGGCACTCAGATGGATGCAAATCCTGAAGACAGAAGTGGCATTTTGGTATTGTGGTTTTGGTTTTGCAGAAGAAGTGAGCCCTTTAATTTTCCCATTTTGCACTCTGTTTGTTTGTAATAAGATAGCCCATTTGATGTTAAGATTCATCATTATGAAATCAAGTTCAGTTCTGCATCTCAAGAACTGCAGCTCAACTCCTGCAATTGTTATCAAAAGGGAGGAATTGGCAAATGCTGAATATATTGCAATGTAATATGCTATGTTATAGATTATTTCTATGCCACCTTTTCAGCCAAACAGCCCTCAACACAGTTCACAAAAGTTAACAGAAATACAATTCCGTGCTGTATTTTAAGCCCCACACTTGTCTTCAAGAAAGCCAAGAAAGCGAAAGAAATTATTTCTTCCTGTTCAGGACTTGATGGGGAGTTCTAATGCTTTAGCTTTATTTCTTTACCTTGCATAACCAGGAGACATTTAATGCACAAGATACTGAGCACACATTAAAATTATTCTAAAAGCCAAATGCTTTTAGCTTTCCGAAATGCAAATCATATTAATGGGAAAAAAGCAAAACTAAACTCAGAGAGCTAGGAAGACAAATTAAAGCCAATAAAGTTTGCGAGGAAAAAAGATGTGTTCTAAAAGAACTACAGAAGGCTATTCTGAAGCAATGCAAATGTCAAAGCCCATACCCAGCACTGATTAATAAAATGCTAACAGGAACTGTTGCTGGTTGTGGTGCTGTGTCATATCCTGGGACCTTAACACAGTTGATAAAGACTAATTAAACACCCGATGCTTCCACAAAAAGCAATAGGCAAACATTATTACACCTATTAAGTACAAATAAAGCAAAGTTGTGATGTTTAATTACAAAGAACACTTCATTAACAAATAGTTTTTCTCCACAAAAATGTTACATTGTCTACTATGTTTGGAACAAAACTTTAACTCCTTTTTTTTTAAATTAAGGAGAGATTAATGGCACCTGAATTTGCCAAAGCAGTGAGCCCAGGCATATGCAAAGAGCAGAGAACATTAAATGGGTAGATAAACATGCAACAACTAAGCAAGAGTTAGAGGACACTCCTGGGAGCAGAGTTCCCCCCTCTAAATGGGGAAAGTTCTGCTAATGAGAGGTGGCCCAGACGGGTGAAGCAGTAGCCTAAGTTGCTAGAACTCTGGATGGTAACACTTCAGGCTGGAAGTGGAGCATGCCGTGTTTTTGAATGCCAGCACCCAAGAAGTCAATAAGAGAGAAACACACCCAACAGCAACAACAAGTAGAGGATGGGGTGAACCAACACCAGGCTGCCAAAGGTGGGAAAAAATCTACCCCTCAAAAAGCAAGACTATAATTTGATGCACAAAACACATTCTGGTTTTGGTATTACAAACTGGTGGAATAGTGTCTGGAACTTTGCTCTTCAGGAAAAACTTACTGAAGCAAAACCAGGCTCTTTTATGGCAGTCTGGTGGGAATTTTTAGATTTTGGGCTCACCTACAATTGTTTCTCAAACAACAAACAACAAAGTAGGGACTCAGCTACATTAATCAAATAACAATGTTATAAATGTGTTATAACAATGTGACACCAGATGGCGTTGTAGAGCTGAAATAGCAACCCAATTTTCCATTGTGAATTTTACAACGTTTTTTCCATACTGTTTTCAGAGCAATTTTTTTTATAGATGTGTAGATCTAGCCTGGGAGAGAACAGTATCTGCAAACCTTGCTTCACATCATTGGTTCTATAATTTCTAGGAACTTACTCTTTTCATGAAAGCTGGGAATCTGGAGATTCTCTCCACACCCTTTCCAAGCACTCTAAGAAACAGAATCGAGGGTGAGGCGATGCTCTTGGAAGTGCCAGAAGATATAATGTAAGATGAGTCTTTCAGACTTAATGAGCTACCAATTTCACACAATGACAGTATAAAATAGGAACACAGAACCAAACACAGAGACAATTCCGGAGCAGTGGCGTAGCGTGGGGGGTGCAGGGGGGGCCGGCCGCACCGGGCGCAACATCTGGGGTTAGGGCAAATCCACAGGTTAGGGGGCGCAAATCCACGGGTTAGGGGGCGCAAATTACTTGCCTTGCCCCGGGTGCTGACAACCCACGCTACGCCACTGTTCCGGAGAACCGCAAACAGAAATTTCTCCCATCGTGCATGCATCTACACTGCATCTTCTGATTTCCCATCCATTCTCTGTATTTCTTTCTCTGGATTCAAACAGAAGGGAGGGAAACCCATTCTTTTTGTTAGGGCAGCTGGAAGGGCAAAGTGCAAAGGTGACCTTAAAAGGCTGATTTGTAGGTGCTTATCCCAAAAAATGGAAAAGTGCATGAAATCAGAATGTAAACCAATCTTTAGTTAAAATGTGCAGGTAAACCTGAGCCTGTATCATAGAAAAATGGCACACTTGCAATTAGTATTCATAAGGAGACTGGAGAACCTTCCTTGTTTCAATTAAAAATAATTTCAGTACTAAACCATATCAAATAGAAAATACCCAAATAGTCCTCCTCCTTCAAATTTAGAAGCCATCTGTTGAACTTATTTTGACTAAGCAAATGGGACTAGAAATATACTGATTTGCCAAGTTAACACTTTTCAATGCACCCTGTTTCAGCAGCAACAAAGAGTCTGGTAGCACCTTAAAGAAGAGCAGTTTAACAGCTAAAAATACAAAGTGTGAATGCAGAAAAGACATTCACAAGCATTCAAATTATATGGGTACAATAATCAGAGAAATAAGACTGACAGTGCTTCCTTCCTGTTTCAGTGGCAAACCTGAGCTTCCTGCTGCATGTGTGAAAAAGCTCAACCTTGTGGAAATACAAAACCAGGAACCGAAAAGCACATAAAACAAGCTTCCCCATTCCTCTCTTCAAGGCCACAGTGAAAATGTGAAAAAGAAAGTTCAGGTTCCTGTTCTGCAGCAATGTAGCATATTAAAAGATTTTGAAGCAAAAGCTTGTTTTCACCCCGATTTGTGTGCTTTTTTTCAGCTACGTTCTGTCCATGAAAGCTTTCTAGGCAAATATGGAACCGTTACTTTGAATACACAAATATAAAAATGTGAAATTCCAATAAGCTTTCAGTCAGCTTGAATGCAATCTGTATTATACATGAACACTATTTGCTAACATTCACTGCTAAAGGGTTTATTAGATAACCAACAAGGGGCAGGGAAAGCTCACAAGCATTTTCTCATCTTCACATTTCATAATTCTTTCCCAACGTCCACAACATTTTCACTGCATGCCTGTCTTTTTCTTTTTCTGTGTAGCATCAGTTTGCGTAATTTAGGTGGATTTCTCCAAAGCAGTTCAAAGAACAGAATATTTCACTCACATAGATTTTAGTGTGGCAGGCTAGTTTCCTTACAGGTCTTGCAAGTGTCAGCTCTGGTGTGTGAGTAATTCAAGCAAAACCAAGAATACTGGCTCATGCACTACAGAAACAAGGGTAAATTTAAAATTTGAATCATTTTTTTTAACTGTCCCAGTTAATGTGGCACAAATGGTCAGTGAGAGATCAAATCTGGATCATTTTGGGCCATGTGTAACATTCTGTCCACTGTGCAGGTCCAGGGTGGCCCAAAAAATGTGCACCTCCTTTCTGCCCCAGAGTGGCTAGGAGCCTGCCCCCCTGCCCACACGCTCCTTGGGCCACTCCTCCACTGCTCTGGGCAGCTGGGCAAGACACTCAGGCTCTAAAGGGAGTGCCCAGCAGGGCTCAGAGGGAAGAAAGACTGAGAGAGCAGGCTAGAGTTGCAGGATGAGGAAGGAGGCAGAAGGGAAAACAGTGAGCAGAGGCAGGCTGATGTGTCAGCTGGCTGCTCTGTCTCCCCTCCTCCTTCCCCTAACACCGCATAACTCTGCTGTTCTCACATCTCTGAGCTGTCATCTTTCTCCAAGCCCTGCTGCAATTTGAGACTGCCTTCCTCTTCCCTGGAAGCTACAGACAAAAGGGGGGATGGATGGACACGACCTCCACCACTCCTCCTCCTCTTCAGTCCAGTCCCTGACACTCAGTGACCACGGAGGAAGTCACTGGCGGAGCACAAAAGGTGATGAAAAACAAACTTTCCGAGTTTCTGGTCTCTCCCAGCTTCAGGTGCACCAATACATCTCCTTGCCAAGGGTGCAAAGGAGCCTTACATTAGCACATCACACCAGCATTTACATTAAGGAGGGTTATTCATGTTTAATGCTGATCTTTGAATGTTGCAGAATTTGGGTTTACTGCATTTGGGTCTTGCGCTTTAAGATATTCTACTGTTCTTTATTAACAAGACTTTAATTGTGTTTCAAAGTTGTTACTCTTTAATATTTTTTGATCAGAACACAAAACTTAAGAAAACCCACCTGCCCCAGCATCCTGTCTTTGCAGTGGCCAAGCAGCTGCCCGTAGGAAGTCAGCATAGGAAGGACCCGAGTAAAACAGCAGCCTCCTCACTTTTAAAATGTTTAATTTTTTAAATATTTCTGAAATGAATAATTATTTTTTAATAATTTAAGCCTAATTTGATGTATATAACACTCATTTTTTTTGGAATATATTTCTTGCTAGGTCTTATTTCCTTACATGTCAGCGTTTAATGCTCTACTGACTGTAAATTCTTTTTTCTTTTCTTTTTATTCCCGATAGCCAATTTTCATAACTTCAAATTCAAATATTCCAAAATTAAAACAAGTCTGAACTTTTGAAAACCCCCCTAAAATAACCAATATTATTTTTAGGAAGAACAACTTTGTTTCATTCCCCCCCCCCGCCCCTATTACAGCTATGGATTGTAGGAAAATTGTACAAAATGGCTACCCAGTAGCCATTTCCCCCCCATGATGTCCAAAAAACATAAAATTTTCAACTATAAATTTCATTCTTTGTTGAGAAAGAGCATCTCTTTGCAATAATTTTCAACATCAAATCTTTTGGTCACATCATGTTCACACGTTTTTCAACCAAAAAAACTAGGCTACAAGTGCATTTATATATATTTTTTAGGGATTTATACAATCTTTTGAGTGCTGATGTATTTTTTCTGACATCCTCGTCATTTTATTGAGCTCTGTGTAAAATTTCAAAGAGATCTGATCATTGGTTATGGAGGAAAAATATAAAATGTACACAAGGGTATCTTGTGCGGAGGGTCTCAAGAGGGACAAACAACACAGATTAACGAAACTTCAAAGTGCTATAAAATCAAAACCATTTGAGATAGAGGGGGAAAATTCAAGGGGGTTTCTTTCAACCATAAGGGAAGGGTGTACACCAAGTTTCATCCAAAACTGAGATGGTGTGTGACAAAACCCTTGTTTTTTGCGTTGATTTGATGTGGAATGACCTGAATATATCCTGTGAATCTTAAGTTCTCCTTCTCTCTGCACTAGGCAGATTTTCCAGATATATAGGTAAGATGACTATCAGACACTAAGTACACTAAGTTTAATAACCTCTCTGTCCTGAATTTTCAAAAGTCACCTGATTTCCAAGCTCCTCTGGGGTTGAACACTTATCTTGATGTGATGTGGTGCCGAACACCTTGACTTCAATGGCTAGCTTAATCAATTAATCGTGATTCTCCCTGAGAATATTCCCAGGCTGCATTCCATACCCTGTATGCTGTTAAAGGGATTGTGCTTCACATTCCAATTTTTGCCTACAGGTTTCTGTCCTCCATGGGGAAGGAATCATTTACAAGGGTCTACAGTATCAAACATATAGAGCCATCATCAATCACTCATCAGTTACAATTCCCATTTGCATCCATTTATCTAATCTCAGGCTACAGGAACTGCCATGCTTAAGTAGTTCCAAACTACTTTAATAAAAAATGAAAATGCTGGCGATTACCACAACCTAATTATCCTAAAAAACTGCTGCACTTCATACTTAATTGTGTCCCCTTTCAGATTTAATTTTAATTAAGATTATCACAAAAACACAGACTCGGCAACAAAAAGACAACTCATCATCATCAATCCATTTTAACTGGAACTACCAATATTGCCAATATCTTCTCAGCAGCTCAGTGTGGGCAGAGAGACCAAATGTTGGCAGTCAGCTGGCAAAGACGGAAGCCTATGGGCTTCATTCACCAACAAGTTCTCTATTTCAAAGGAAAATGCATTATATTCAGGAGCTTCGTATTAGCCAGTGCCACTGAAGAAACTTGGCGGTGGGAAGGGAGCTTCAACTGAGTTGTTGGGGCAAGAGAATCTTGGGGTCCTGCATCAATGTCTCCGGAAAACTGCCTACAGTTCTCCCTGCTGCCCACCAACTTTGGAGCTAGGGCCAGATGTTTAGGCATCCTGGTGCTTTAAAAATAAATAGAGAAAATACCCAAACTTCTATACGTAACAATAACTGATGCTTTAAAGTTATCGCAGTTATTCAGAACAGCAGTGAGAGAGTTCTATAGTAATCTAGCAGCTCAATCTGTACACAGCCTATTTGGGTAATATGCAAATGAGCTCCTGCAAAGTATATGTTGTTAATCCCAACTGCCCAACACCACTGATTAGGAAATAAAAACCAAAGAAAAGGGGGGATTTGGAAGCTCTTCAGATGCAATTTACCCAAAGAAAATGTGGGTTTTAAATTGTAGAGCTGCAAAAAATAAATGTCACTGAAGAAGTACGCAGACCTTTCAAGGCATGGATCTGTGACAGTGGGCTTAGTGATGCAGCAGTCAGAGCAGAGGCCCCCAAGCTCCTGCCCCCCCCCCCGGACCACTTGAAAATTGTTGAGTCTTAGCGGGCCACTTAATTATTTTTCTGCCTGTTGTACCAATTGTAATGTGCTGTGCTAGATGCTTTTTTTATTTTAATTGTCTTTTTATTGCTTCTTTGATTTCTTATATATTGCATTTTTTTTATAATTACAATATAAAAATAAAATACAATTAACATCAACATGAATATTTAATTCATGCGCTGCCAGAAATCCCAACACTGTGGACCAACTGAATGGAGCGTTGGGACTGCTGGTGATCCATCTGGGGAACTCCTGGGTTTGAGTACTGTGCCAAGACTGTGCCCCCCCCCCCAGGTTCAAACCTTCACTCAGCCGTGAACCTCCTTGAGTGGCCTTGGATCAGTCATTTATTTCTCAGCATAACTACCTCACAGGATTGTACTCAGAAGAAAATTAGGGGGATGGGCGAAGAGACCATGGATGCTGCCTTGAGCTCCTGGAGGAAAGTAGGATATCACTGCAGTAAAGAAGCTTCTCTATAGACTGAAGCAAGATTTCCCTGCCAGACTTGCCCTCTACCTGCCAGCACGCCCAAGATGGAAAGCACCCCTCCATGAAACCATGCTCCTAGCTGCTCAGGAATGATGTCGGCCCTAAGCGATGCAGGCAGCATAGTCAGACCTTCCTCCATAAAGGGGATACGTTTACAATTAAACACATCATTACAGCTGTAAGGTCAGGCCTCGGGGTGCACTGAAACAATTAATGATTTTCATTCTGGTTCCCAACAGTATAGAAATAGCTCCACAGTGTGCATGGGTACACTGACAAACACACTTTATAGATTCTAATTTAGCATTTATTGACCATGACGATGCAGCTGATAAATGTTCTGACTGTGCAGGTTCATCACACACTGTGACCACAGATGTCACTTGTAGTGTAGTAAAAGTAGCAGACATACTATACGGCCTGCACAGCTTTTTCTGTAGATGGCAGTGTATGTCAAACTATGGGGCTTTCTTCCCCAGAAGTCTTCTAGGCAGTGAAAACTAATCTAAACAGAGCATCTAACACAATATGTAAAGAATGCTCACTCAGAATCACAGATCATTTCACAATATTAAGCTTCTAAAAACAACACTGGAAAGCTACCAGTAATTGGTGATTTCATCACTAATTGCCTATTGTTAATACCAGGCATGTAGTGGTGCTGCATAGAATTTTTCTAAAATAAAATGAAAGAGAAAGAATAA